ATACGTGTCTTTTGTTTTTTGTTTTGATTGTTTTGTTTTGTGTTTTTTTTCTTCGCTTTTCCTTTTATCTCACAACTACGACATTAAGTTAATGTCCTTCTAAATTTTTGTACCTTACGCGTACCTTACGCGATTGGTGAAGATCTTAAGACCGGATTATAGTGATGTGGTACTATCTACAAGATCTCGAGAGAATCTTGAAGGTAGCCATAGGCCAATTTGAAATAAGGGCGGATCTGAAGCTGAATTGTTAGGGCTAGGGAATACCTAACATCCGAAAATTCGATTTCAGATTCCATATATGTATATATACATATTTCATGTTCTCTGGGAGTGGTGTTATCCCTAGCGCCATCCGCCTGTTTAGTTCCATTCGCCCGATCTTGAGTTAACTACTTCTTATTAATCTGAAAAAATCTTAACCAAACGATGTAAGGTTGGCTCGATTATGTCGTTGGTGTTTTACTTCACTGTTTTATTAGGGCGCACCTCTGCGTGCATCGAAATAAATAAATAAACTGTGGGGAAGTTTCATATAGGCTCTCCACGGTTGAGCTGCTGGAAGTGACGGATGGTGTACTGGATAGCAATGTGGACTTCGATTTGGGCGACTAGGCTGGGTCGGTGGTTTGGGTTTTCTGGGCGCTGTCGTCTTTGCATTTTATGCTGCCACCCCCACATTGCCTCCTTATTGCTCTGGGACCAAAGCAAGTGCCTGAGTGGTTATGGTCGTGACCAAGACCAGCAATAACCTCTACAAGCCAGTAGAAGAATACGGTAGTCGCCACGAAGTAAAAAGAGTGAATTTCTACTTGAAGGGTATGGTAGTCACCATGGAAATGGAAATACTGCTGCTCGACGTGTGAATTCGAGTAGAAAACCGCCTTTAGTTATGGATCATCAGGGATGACTACGGTGCAGTGGAGTTTCCGAACTTATTGTAAGCGGCGATCATAAGGACGAACCTGCCCTCTCCCAGTTTCCAGGTGGACGGATTTGGATAGTTGGTTCCCAAACTAGAATGAACCTTTGGAAGATTTTCTCTTTCAATGTATCACTCCGTATTTTACACACCTGTCTTACTCGCAATCCACGAGAATCGACGTTGCGACTCTGTGCTGGTGAACGGCTGTTGCCACTGTTGGTCGTATTGGCGTTCTTCTCGAAGTGCCGATTGTTGCCCTGTTCATCGGCATGTTCTTCAGGAGCGCCTGACCGACACGTCGAATCAATCATATTTTCCGCCGTTGTCACCAAGATTTTCAACGGACATGAAGAGCACTGCGAACTCATAGCTTTTGCGCAGCCCTCCTTCTAACGCCAGGGCATTTGGGTGATTTATAACGTGATGGCGACGTGGGGATACCCATATCATTCAATAGCTGTTACGTGGGTAGGCTAGGTAGTAGTTCCTTGGTGCCTCACGAGCACAGCCTAACTTCACCTACATATGTCATAGCCCGCTCACATTGCAGAATGGCTGTGTTGCTGTATTACTTACAGGCAAATCAGAATGATAAGTCGTGATTCTTTGTATCTTAACTTTAATTTCACCAGTCGGATCGCCCAGCTAACGCCGGGCTCTCCTCCTTCTTATGTAATGCCCGGCTACGCCGGGCATCCTGCTTCTTATGTAGTAGGGACAAAGATTGGTGCAAACAAACAGGGATTTATTTTCGATGAATATAACATGAAACTGTTTCATTCTAATAATGACTTCCTCGGATAGTGCTTGGTCAGGGGATGATACAGAAAGTCGCTAAGGAATCATACCAATCTAGGGCCTCCGGTCTAATCATAACCTCACTGGTTTTATGAGGACGCTAATTTACTCCGATACCACTTCCCTCAGAACGAATAGAAAGCAATTCCAGAGAGCACTATCCGAACTGAAGAGTGGAGCTTGCTTTCTCGGATAGTG